CCCCAAAACCCCAAAACCCCAAAACCCCTATCTATCTCATGATATTGAATGAATTTCTGTGTTACCTCGGGTGCCTTTTGAGCTTCTGAAGGTTCATCTTCATTCCTTTTAGCGAAGAGATGCTGTGCAAGCTCTTTCCGCCAACCTGGAATTGCTTGAACATCCCTCGGTAATCCCTCACAGGGTCATGAACTGTTTTAAATATATCTAAGAGTAACCAAACAGCTTACTGACTGATCCGAAGGGTAGCTTAGAGTTTTGAGCTGGGAACATCATATTTCGAGATTTATTTTTACTTATTGAAGGGATTTGAAATCTTTCCTGCTCAAACTGCCTTCTTTGTTGGTGACCGATAATTGATAGAGAAGAAGTACTCAAGTTAGATTTTATTTTTGGAATCCTAAGATCCCCCATACTTGAATTCTTATTGATCATAAGTTTCTTGTTAAATTTGCGTTTGGGTGGCCCAATTTTTAGTTTAGGCAATTTCTTATTATTTTTCATTAATAACGCTTGAGTTGTTACTAATCATACTTGAGTTAGTCATGTTGATACTCAGGTCCTCCATGGATCTACTAGGGTTGATAACCTTTTTCTCAGTAGGATTTGGACTTTGTATCGAGCTCAGTGTATCAAAATATCTCTTACTCAAAGGTGTTCTCTTCTTTTCAGTGAAGAACGGATGTTTTAATACCTCAGCAGCTGTAGGCCTCTTATTCGGATTTAGGCATAACATCTTTGTTATACAATCAAGTGCACCTTCTGATGCTTCTGGAATGAGGTCTTTTAAGGATTTTATCACTTGTTTGGGCAATTTAACACCAATTTTCTTAAATTCCAGCATGCCTTCTTCCCAAGATATAAAATCTTCAGTTCCGAGTACTTTCATGTACTTCTGCAGCTGGTTCATTGAAGAGCTGCCTCAGAATAAAGGAAGCAGGTGATAGAACTCTGCGAAGACGAGACCTCAGGAGAAAACATCTCAAGTTGCAGAATATTTTTCGGCTCCAAGAATCATCTCTGGTGGCCTATACCACCTAGTTGCTACATAAGAGCTGAAGGGAGGGTCTTCATCAAGGTCTTTAGCTGATCCAAAGTCTGCTAATTTAATGTTTCCTTGAGGAGTGACTAAAGTAGTTAATAACTTCAATAGCTTACCTAGTATATTCTCTGGCTTGATATCTCTATGGATATAGCCAATCTTGTGCAGATGATTGACACCTAGTAAAAGTTGCTTCATATATTTATTTGATAGAACTTTCTTTGAAGTACTTATTTGCTTTAATAGCGTTTTCAAACTCTTGACCCAGACTATGAACACATAATTCCATTGATAGGTAAACCTTATTTATCAAATAGCAAAGCTTTGTCCATGTTGACAATGTTGGGATGAGTAGCTCTTGACAAAACTTCTATTTCTCTCTCCTCTGCAAATTCGTTAACTGTATACCTAGAAGAGATATATAAACATAGAATAGAAGGCTTACTCCTTATTTGAACACTTTTACAGCACAAAGTGAGTTGTTTTCATTAATCGCCTTGTAAATATCTCCGTATGAGCCTTTTCCAATTTTCTCGTACAAGTGAATTTTATCCATTTTCTTTATAGAACAGCAACAATTTTGCACGTATTCTGGGGTTTTGGGGTTTTGGGGTTTTGGGG